CACACACACACACACACACACACACCACACACACACCACACGTGGTGTGATGTTCTCTACCTTTTCAATCTCCAGTCATTCAGCTGCTCCACCACTGGAGTGGAGGCCTCATCTCCATGGCAACATCATGGCATGAGGTCGGAGCTGTGTGACCTTCAGTCTGAGTTGAATGTCCTCATGTGTGAACGCACCACAGAGTCAGAGCACGTTGTTTCTCAGTCTTTAATCGCCTGGTCTCCTCTGTCTCCAGCTGTCCTGTATGTGGGAGGACGTGCGGTGGCTGAGACAGAGCATGTCCGTCTCCATGTCGTCCTCGTCCACGCTGCAGGCTCGACACAAGATGCTCACCGCCGCTGCGCAGCTGCAGGTCAGGATCCAGAACCTGGATTCATTAAGTTCAATAAATGACACTGAGAGAAAAACTGAAACAGTTTCATTCAGATGTGACGAAGAAACTGAAGGTTTCATGTGTTAATTCTGCTCCAGACTCAATCTGGACTACATCCAGAGATAATCTAGATTCAATTCATTATTTTGCAGCTGCTACAAGAAAAAAACAAAAGAAGGTTTCTATTGTCACTAATTCACAGAGATTCACAGAATACATTTTTTCAGTTTTGTGTCGTTTCCTTGACAACAAGTCGTCTCAGCCGCAGATGAAACTGATTTCATGTCATGTGACGATTAAATAAACCATCAGAACCTCCTGGGAACTCACAACCTGGGCCGCGTCCACTACGAGCCCATCAAGGATCGCCACGGCAACGTGCTGCTGGTGACGATCCACGACACGGAGAGTCAGCACTCGCTGTTCAGCGGGAAGTGGATGCAGGTGACGAAACTGCAGAGCCAGAGGAAGTCTCTGTCCACGCCAGAGGAGCCGTACGCCCTCGACATCCTCATCATCACCATCCAGGTGAGGAAGAACGACACGCTGGGTTTTAATGTGTTTCTACTGGCGACGTCGAGCAACGATGTTTGTGTCTCTGACCTCAGGACATCTTGGCGTACCAGCGGCGTGGAACTCATCGCCTGGCTCCAGGTCTCTACCTGGGCTTCCTGAAGCTCAGCAGCTCCGTCGACCAAATCAGAGTCCTGGTGTCGCAGCGAACTCCCAACATGCTCTGTCACACCCGCATCCGAGAGAACGCCAACGTCTCCAGGTACGTTCCACACACACACACACACACACA